AAGAGGCAGTAACATGCAAAGACATCGGAAACACGCGACGCCAATTTGTTGTATCCCGAAAAGGCAGCAGACCAGAGCAGCACCGGAACGTATGTATGAAGAAAACTATTCGCACACACACGCAGCACAAGTAACTCGATACAGGTTCGAATTACAACCAATCAAATGCAAGCGCACATGATAGGCCAGCGAGTGCTAAATAGAAGCGTGAGTAGGATAAGCAAATCGAGGCAAATACAAAGCCAAGTATTTGAACATGACACACTGGATCACAGAGGTTGCTATCCATATCATCCCGAGAACTCAACGAGATGCAAGTCAATTTCGCTCAACAGTTATCGACTAATTTAGTCCTCGGTTTATCGTCCAATGCATATTTGGTTGTATTAGTTGTACCGGGGAAAATTACGTACACCAAAAGAAGTAGTTAATCCCTGCACTGCGGCTCCGTGGGATGTTATTGAGGCAATTCAGTTGGCCAAACAACCATAGTCATGGGGAACTAACCCAAACTTTTGATCAGATCAGTATACAAGACTTTTAGTGTTTTGAGAAAAACCTTACTGGGCTTGCATCAAGGTTTGGCCTGCGGAATTTCCACAATTTTTATTGCGGGAATTGCTCCCCTGTATGTTACTTGAGATCGAACACGGAGAGTCATTCAGCGGCTCATTTGCGATCACGTTCCAGTGCTTCCCGTCCTCGTTGTACATTGGTCGCTCAGATGGTGTCCGAATTTAACTTTTTACTCTTAGGAAAACCGCTATCTACTTTGAAGAGTACCGCACTTTATCCTTGCCGAAGTGCATATATAGTGGAAACACTTTATTAAAACTGCGACAAAGAATATTTCATTTACCGGATGTTTGTGTTGTCTAATACACTGTGCAATAAAATGCTTTTATTTGCTATAACAAGAATGCAGACACTCCACTGACAGGAGAAATGTATTCCGATGTTACCTAGCACGTCAGGTTACATTGTTATAAGCTAATGATTATTTTCAGTAATGTCAAGGCTACATCGTACGCATTTTAGGTAACTCTGCTGAATCACAACGAATACAGGATACATCTATGTGGCAAATACGTTTAAAACATCACTGCAACACTCGCCACTAACTACTGACTGCAGCTTAACACTAGGAAATGTTGACTTCGCCACGATCGTCGCTTGTATGATCCAACGCCGTCACGCCACAGAAACAAGCAAAACTCGCCTACCATAGAATGCTTGTACTTACCACTGTAGCTCTACTCCATGACTAAAATGTCTTGGTGAAAGCGTTCACTATGCTCATCGCTAACAGCTCCCAAGTTTTCAGAAAAAGGTCCAGGTGCTTATGCAAAAAGTACGTCTTGTTAGACATTCGAGCACCAATAGCCCGACAGTCGTAATGAGCTTTTTTTGACGCCTTTTTAGTGCTCTGCCTTTGTTCCGCCCAAAAATCCTATACATACTGCTTTGAATGCTCACCACGATCCTAACTCAAATGAATTCAACTGGCATTCAAAAACATTATCTACCATTATCTGGCGAGTATCATGCCCAATTAGTATACTTTCTTTGAGCGTCTCATTACTGAACTTCGGAAACACTAGTTTCAGGTACTGGAGCTCAAAACCATCTCGATTGAGTGCTTTGACAAAGTTTTTAATCAAACCAAGCTTGATGTGCTGGAGTGGTAGATAGATAGGACCCGGTTGCACAAGAGGTGGATGCTCTACGCTCATTTTCCCTGCAGTATACTACGTTCTCTACGGGCACTTTTCGGTTGTTTAGAGCTGTTGTGTTGCTCTACCGTCCCATAAGCAAAGAAACAGCAGGGTTTTGTGAAGCCCCTTGCATACCCATTAGGAGTCCAAAGATTAAAACCAGCACCGATGTCCCAACAGTACCTATGGTAGTTCAGTGCGGCGGGTGTCTGTTGCATACATGCATAAGTCCTTCATATTGGTGGCATGCAACAGAAGCACAATTAGGTACAAATTTACATGGTGAAGCAGTATGGCCTTAAGACTACTGTTGGACGGGTCAGTGAACAAACGCCATTCATCACTGATATGCCTCACGCCAACCTCCTTCATCAGGCCTTCCACGTCGGAATAGTAACAAAAGGTTTCTCTCGTGTCATAGAAACCGGACGATTTAACGCAGCTTTCTGGATACACCAACCTTAGTATTGGAAGCAAGTAAATGTCACTGTTGTAGCTGAGATGCCAGCAACTGGGCCTTGTCGGCAAGGCCAGATCACGTACCAAGCCGTTCAGCTCTGGTTGTTCAATAAAAGGTGGGTTGACAATATCAGTTTCAAAGTTTTCACAGATGTCAGAATCAGGAGAAGTTGACGATGCGTAATCACTTCTCATCATCAGTGACATGTTCACTGGAAGCATTGGAATGGGCAAGGTGTAATCATGAGGAAGGCATCGAATAGCTAATGGAAGATCGGGGTAATGAATTTTTTCCTGGTTTCGATTAGAAATTCCGATGACACTGGTTAGGCACAAGTAGCAGTCTGTCGTGTGATCTTTCGGTTCCATCCACACCATGAAGATTGCAAAGGGCATCTTGCTTTTTCCCTTGAGCCACTGAGTCCGATGATAATTGCACAACACACAAACAACATGCAGCGCCCATCTCTTACCCTGATCTCCCAGTTTCGTCCCGAAATATGTGTGGTAGGCAAACTTCAGTAGTAAAGAAATGCGTCTGCACCGTGACTTTGCAGCAAACTGTCCACAGACATAACAAACATGATTTCGGTCATTGAAATAGCAGCGTTTTTCAGCCATTATCAAGCTTTCAATTAAAGAAACACAGCTCTCAATCTACATTCAGTATCAGGTGGATACCATGGCCAACAGGGGGCAATGGAGCAATCACAGCCGAACATTTGATGCATGGAACGCACTGCTTAGTTTAAATGAAAAACTGAAATTAAACGAAAACCGAGGTAGTAGAAATATTTGATAAGCAGCTCGCCTGGCACTATCACAAAGACCCTATCTCATTTATGTTATGAAAATGAAGTTACACAGTGTAATTAATAGACAACATTGTTCGCCCCATAGTCAAGGTGCATTGGCTTTGGTGATTTCACAAGCCCCTACTTTTTCCTTAGCCAAATTGAAGTCGTTTTCGCCGACATTTTAATCACAGCATTCTAACCCTATTAGCAGTCTGCACCCGTTCGTACACGTATATTGTGATGGGGCCGGTCGGCTCAGGGCAGTACGTCGGAATTCGAAGAAAGTATAAATTGCAATACGGTGAAATATTGGTAGCTCGGGTTGGGTGTTGAGATATCGGTTAGCTCACCAAACTGAGCAATCGGAGGGCAGATATTACGTCACAAGGACTTGTGTGAAGCACATCTGTTAACAAGGCTATTGCTACAGCTGCTACAGCTACCACCGCTAACAAACCGTCTGCAATAGGCGAGCTAACAAACATCAAGAATGATAAATTGTGCATTCGCATTAACAGTGCTGCCATCCAAGCTTCACCACAATGACTCGCATAAGATACTTTCGAAGATCTCGTAACTGATGTCTAAACCACGCCTAATCTTTCCGTCTGACTCAATTGTTGATTTCATTGGCGTCAGATCATTTCTGCTAGTTATGATACGGCTGACACCCTTGGGTGGTCACTGATATGTTATGGAGCTGATGATCTTACCAAATTTTAATCTTCTTGACAGTTTAAGTTGATTCTCTTTACCTTCAGTTGGATTGCACTGCTTGCTACCCTGCTGCTTGCTACTGCCCCTACACACTGCTGACCTTCAATGTGAGATCCATGTACATTGTTTCCAGCAGTTCTCGCGGTCTAATTACGTCGGTGTACGAGAATGCTCCGACTCCATCTTCTCATAGCTTATCGAAGGATGATCGCTCAGCGGCATACTACTTTATCCAGTCGATACGATGGTGACCTGTTTCGGTTATTACAAAAAATCCACGTTATCGAACTGGAAGGGTAAATAGTACTGCCGTTGGTTGCCAGTATACTATCTAATTTAACGCAGACTGAACAGTGACTGAAAATCGGCTATCCGGATCCGTGTCTTAGAAATCCGGGCCATTTTCACGGTTTTTAAAGCGGGATTTCTCAATTTCTCTTTTGTTAATGACTATACTTTTTGCTGACTGTTCTCAGCGTTCCCATATTTCTAATTCACGGAATCCAGCGAAAATAGTACATGTTTCGAAGTATGTACTCGTAAAATCAGTGAAACCGGCGGTTCCCTCATAAAAGCCAGGGTGATGGGTACGATACAAATAGTTTAGCAAGTGAATAAAGCCTGGCTGCCCACGCTTGACCGTGGGTCTTTGAGGATGGGCTGATCTGTAGTCTTCAAGAATTGCAAGCGTGCTTCCTAATCCGAGGGAGCAGATTCGAGCTTGCGTGAGGACCGGGCGATCTTCGCAGTATCCTTAGCCCACATGCGACTCGTGGTGGTTGCGCGGCAGCGAAGCGTCGCTACTGCGTACCGACATACTGCTAATGTCATTCTCTTTGAGGATGAGCGAATTCCGAACCCCATAGAGTAACATCACCTTAGAACATCCAGAACAATCGGTAAGATGGACTTTTGACAGCGGAAAGTTGTACCCAAGCTGTAACTAGATGGGGCCGATAAGGACTAAAAAAAGACGCCGATGTAGCGCTCAGCCAGCATTAGCTGACATGTTTTGTTAGCGCTGACCAGCTTCGTAGTGTAGGCAGTACCGCCGAGTTTTGGCCGTCGTCCACCGGTTTTCAAGCTCAATGACCTGCCATGGTCCAAACCAGTTTCATCATGCATTGGTTAGGTGCAGGACGCATACCACACTTTCAGATAATGTCCAGACGTTACCTAGCTGGCGTAGCCGTCATTGTGCTACTCAGAGCACATGTTCAGCGAGTGCACTGAGGCAATGGCGTACTGAACAGACACATTTCTGCGCTTTCATTGGTTTTCGCCTTGATGCGACAGCCCCAACTAAGCAACCAATGACCTGTCAACTTCGATCTCTGCGCAATGATGACCATGAGACCAAACCAATCAAATCTTAGTGGTATACTTATGACCTTAGGGAGCGCTGCCGAGCCAGTGCTACGCTTGCCAAGTTGTACTCCGTCCACTTCGCATTTCTGATGGCCAACTTTTTGGAGCGCTTTTCTGGTTACGTCCTCCCACCACAGCCAGATCCGCGCACAAATGCCTATCCACTGATGAAGTCTTGGTCACCAACTGCCCTTATTTCTCTGGCTTACGTGGTTGGCGTATATGCGTGGCGCATCGAGCTAAAGAAGCGACACAAGGCCTCTCGGGCAGGAGGCTTAGAAAAGGGTGCAGTGACAACACATCAACTCTGCAAATCAAATGGATGGGGCTTTGTAAAGATTCTAATGGTTGTTTACAATCTCAGCATGGTGTTATATTCCGCGTACATGGCTCTCGGTACAATTGTGGCGGTTCGGAGACTGCATTACGGTCTTGGTTGCGCCGAGCAGCCAGATCCAAACGATCGTGCGAGTGACCTCCTACTCCATATCGGATATCATTTCTACTTCTCCAAATTCATCGAGATGTTTGATACAGTATTTTTCTTATGGCGTGGGAAAGTTGACCAAGTGACTTTCTTGCATGTATTTCACCATGCGTCCATGCCACCATCGATCTGGTGGGGGGTCCGCTATGCTCCCGGTGAGTCTATGCCTGGAACCCGTTTTTCACTGTTAGCTCACACTTTACACACTCCCTACACCGTATCTCAGTGCCGATTCCACTTTGTCCGGGTTTTCGGACAATGATAACCAGAGTAGATAACCGAACCGGGAACTTGGGTTTTCGAACCGACCCGTAAGCCAGCACGTTATGTTCTTCTGCTGATATTGCTAGTCACGATTCTCGAGACTTTAGGTTAAAATTTTTATTGTCGGTTTGTTGGTTGATCTTGGAAAAAACTGGTGCTAAATCTTCTTGATTTACGATTCAGTATAATAGCCTACCGAGGCCCGTTGGCCTTGGTTGTGCACTCCATTTCCCCTTCACGGTTTTTATATTCTTTCACCAGGATAGTCATTAATCAGCTTTCAGTTGCATCAGTTGTCTTTCGTGCATGTATGTTGTACCGGATAAATTCACCCATTCTGCTCGTCTGGAGATCCCTTTGATAGTATTTCTTTCTTTCAATTCCATCTTGTAATCATACATGGCTCTAGCGGCTGTTTGGCTGTAATATGCGTCTCAGGGCTTGCTCCCCTCAACGAACACTAGTAAGTTTACTGATAAGAGTTTATCGCTCCTACTGGAACATTGCTTCCATGCGCCTAGTTCCTAACGTTTTTACTAAGGCGATCGACCACTAAATAAAGCCCTAACACTTCCACCTCGTCCTCGAAATTGTACTACGTGTTGAACCCTCATCGGCGTCGTTTTCTGTTTACTTTCTGTTCTCGACTTTGGTCTAATTACGGTTTATTCATTGTGAGCTCATAAGTTTGTTATCATGCCCTATTTTAAGCAACAGTATCCAACTCGCTCATCATTCTCTATTCTGGCTTCATTCTCACCGAACTTGTTCTAAATACGTAACGTCGACGGACTGAAAACCCGAATGCATCTAAAAATGCATTGCATTTATGGTAATGTCGCAACATATTATTCCCGTAATGCCACGACTCCTTTTCAGGAAACTTACATGAGTGACGCGTGTATGGGCGTTTGTGTTTGTCTAAGTATTAATAATGCTGTGATTCACACCTTCGCAATTCAATAAATTATCACAAGAAATTGCGTATGTATGATACTTGCTTTCGTTACAGGAACTGTTCACTGAGCTTGGCAATTTTGTTGCAAACGTTTCGCCACCAGTCGTGGAGATATCATTAGTGCGCTAGTGTATGGCGTAGCTGATTAGGTCTGAACCGGGTAGTCACGCGCGGGCGTTTTTATTCATCATCCTCAACTGTGGCTTGGGCATGTGACCTTTAGAAATGGCTTCTTCGGCCAGTGCCTCGTGACTGCGGCCCGTTTGTCTCCACAGCTGAAAATGCTGCCCGAGCTGTTGATGTCGTACCATTTTCCGTTAACCCGACTCTAGTAGTGTTCCTTTCCTGGTAGATTTGCGAAGAGGGCGTCCAATTTAACGTGCTGCTTGATCGCATTGTTCTCGGTGTGTCATGGTTCTACGAATTCCCTGCTTCGTATTTCCATGTGTCAGAATCCCCGTTTTCTAGGTCAAAATGATGATCAGCTTCATCCTCGTTTATCGTAACCAATGATCATGTCTTGTTATAGCCTTTTACTCTGTGGTCCTTGTGAAAAGCTTTCTTCCTGTTTATCCGATGTAGTGCCTATCGCATTCGCTGCAGTTTATCTGTTAGATTACGCGGGTTTTGACTGACTTGTTTGATTTCGTCCGATCTTGAGATCAACCCTCTCAGGGTAGCATTTGGCTTGTGCCACAGTGAGTCTTTGTGGCCAAAGTAATCGTGCTGCTAGTTCGGAGACCGTCCTGATATATGGAAGCACTACCCTTTTATAATATGGTTGGCGGCATCCGGTTTCGGATTTGCCTGTCACTGTGGCAAGCCACAGGACGCCTGCGCCTACAGAGGGACCATGGGTGGCTTGCGCTGCACCACACACATCTTTAACCACACACCCCATATCCAGTGTAAACCCGAAGGAATAAGACCGGGAGGCATGTGGATGGGAGACACGTTTCAACAACGGAGCCGGCCCACACTTCTTCACAGTCAAACACAAGCACGCTGTATTTGGAGAATCAAGCGCACACAAGGCGGTGGCTAGACTATAGGCCGCTCCACACTGAGTGCATGGAACCGCTCTTTGAGCCTAACACGGCCACAAGGACCGTGCACCCCGTCCCCTCTAGCAACGACCAACTGTCTCCTGGAGCCAGTATGAACGAGGTAGTGGGTAATAGACAGGTAGGCACCTTGTCAACATGCGCATCAAGCGCAGCCACACCGGGGATATCAAGCAACAGCCATTCACTTTAAACGACAAGCTGAAATAAAATAAATCCAATAATGCATACAGATACGGTGGTATAACTCTTCGCTAAATTAGCATATGAAGTAAGTTGGTTAGCAACAAATCCGCGATAAGTAAGAAATGTCCACAACTTACTTAAAAATGCTACCAACGCAACAAAATTACCCAAGATAACCGCAATTAGCCTAAGCAACGTGGCCAGTTAATAGAACATTATTCAGGTAGACAGAACAGACCAAATAAAGTGGAATGAAATTTATCCAGCTTAAAAAGACCTAGTTTAAGTGTAAGTTGGTTTAGCCCAACTGCGGTGAAGAAGCATCAAGAATGCAACATCAGCCTCAGCATGGGGCACCCTTTTATAATAATACTACTAATAATAGACTTAAGGTAGTTTTTGTCATGGTACTGAGAAACCGAGCCCACAAAGGGACGGATTATATTTACATTGCAACATGCTTAGGCATGCGAGGCCGTCAATTGTTTGGATTTTTATTGGGTTACAATTGGGATGTTTTTGCGTATATTTCCATTTGGGACTTTTGTCGCCGTATGCTACCAGTTCGCGAACATTCTCATTTGGTTGTTTTAGGTGCAGCTTGGTGTTGCCATGATGGCGACGGTTTGATGGGAAATATCGTTAAGACAGTAGAACGGTAGAGATGGAGTAACTGGCAACCAGGAGCACAACCGATTCAGTGCAGGATGTAGTATGATAGAAAAAAGAGCGTGAAGTAATACGCTCATACGTGGAACAGTCTCCCAGGGACCTGCTTCCATGCGGGCTAGTCCCTCGAGAAGTTTCACCCGCACCTCCACACTCCATCTGGTCATGTATCGGAGTAGTTTAAAAAAACGCTGGCCACTACCGATTTTATTCATTTGGGCAATTGAATTTTTCTGGTGAGCTAATTACTCAAACCAATCAGCCCTTTCATCATTCATCGATTTTTGCTTGCATGATGACCAGCATTACCGGTTGGCGTCATATGCCATTAAGTCTGAGTTCAGCAGTTCAGATTGGACTGTATATTTAAATGTAGCACACATTTTATATTCAAGTGAATCTTTTTGTGTGGGTATACATGTTGCTTAGAAGTTTCAAACCATCACAGATCGGCTCACACGTGACCAACAGAATATCAGGCGAATAATATGAAATAGTTAGATTAGGAGGTAGAAATATCAACGAAATAAGTAGCCAAATCGCATTTCTCGAGACATTGTGGGGTGCCATATGATTGGGGGTGATGAAATCTTGCAGAAATTTAGAATAAGTCAGAGTTATTAATAAGTTGCCTTCTCAGAAATGTTGGTAAACAATCGTTCGGTATAGTTTGTGCGCAACATTTCGCTTTTGACACAAAAGCTTCCTCAGGCCGAGTGAACCAGTCGAGAATTGGTATACCACTTATAGTAAACTGGGATGAAAATCGCGATGAATGGGATGTAAGCAGAAGGTCAATTGCGTTACAGGTCAACGCATCACTCCAACTAGTGCATGGAGCGGTCACAAGTGGTCCGCGTTGCAAGGTCATACACGTAAGCCCTGTTAACGATGGGTGCGGGGATGATGTGATGTTCATTCTCTGCCCTGGATCCGTCCGCCGGCGCTCCTCAGACAGCTCGCCACAAGCTCGAAGGCTCTACCCCGTCCATTCTGTTCACGCAGCTGTTCACTCCGTTAATCTCAACCGCCTCAGCAGTCAGTCTCAGGGCAGTTTATCGCGACCTCTTTCTAACGATTTTGATGTTATCCAAGTCGATCTCATGCCCTGTATCTATCGCGTGTATCGCTACGGCCGAACCCCTCAGTAGAGCCAAATATTCAATCTCCTTTTTTTGGTGCTCCTGTTATGCGTCTCTTGTGTTCTGTCATCCTTGTGTGTAACTCTCTCGCGGTTTGCCCGATGTACACGTGTGCGCAGTCTTTGCAACTAATTTTGTAGATGCAATTGGTTGTCCTATCTGCGGGAAGTGGGTCTTTCAAGTGCACTAGTGTAGAGAAGAGCGTTTGGCCTGTTTGGAAAATTACCCTTATGTTTTCTTTATTTAAGCAAAAGCTCGAAGCGCTTTTGCTAACGTTCGCTACTTATGGCGCCGGTGCTACAGCACTCTCGCCCTAAATGGTTGAGTGTACAATGCAGCGGTACGTTCGACCCTACTGTGCGGTTGTGAAACCTGGCCCCTTATATCAGCGGATATAAAGAGGCTAGTTACGTTCGACCACCGGTGCCTTCGCAGTTTAGCTCACATTTGGTGGGAACACCACGTGAGCAACGAACGTGTTCGACACCTTGTTTACGGCATAGGAAAATGAAATGAACCGCTCAACACCGTTATTTCACGCACCAGGCTCCGATGGTTCGGCCAAATGTTACTCATGAAAGCCCACCGACTCTCGCGACGTGCGTTGTTTGCGCGCCAGGGGTGTGGTTGAAAGAGGAGGAGAGGTGGCCAAGCGATGACTTGATCGAGAGGAATGAAAGCCCTCACTTCAAAGCTGGCCTCAGTTGGGGTGTATCGGCTCCCTGATTTGACTCCGAAAATGATGAACACGATTGGCTGGATACACTTGCTGATATGACTAGGATCCGACCTCAGTGGAGTTCGTGCTGTGAGTTTCTTTGTCCCACCCAATCACTCTTAGCCTACCACTCCAAGCAAGATCTCACTATTTA